TCTGGATCTTTTTGTTAAAGGCACTCAGGATATGGAATGGGAGGTATATAAGGCTTGGCTTCAAAGGGAGAATGGCCACTTTAAGCTGCATGATTAACTCTTAGTACCTCGATTACCTCATCATCTTCATTTTTTTATTTGCTTACCTTTTTAGATATCTTCTTAACCTAACTATCAACGTCTTAGAGTTCTTTACCATTCTGTAGGGTGACTATCATGACTTGCTCTCATGGATTGACTTTCGTGTTGCTTGAAAATTTATTTTGACTCTTTCTGGTAAGTAAGCTAGCCAAATTTCTTATTTAAGTCTCCATATTCCTTAGATAATTACCTATTTGTGATTCTATATTCTTCATAGAAGCTTGAGTTGAAGCAACTACTTGTTTAAGTCAGTTAATATCTTGATTAATACTCTTTATGCTATTCACTTGGTAAGTCACCATTTGAGTCAAAGATTCAGAGGGAGAATGGCCACTTTAAGTTGCACGATTAACTCTAAGTACCTCGATTACCTCATTATTTTTATATTTGTTTACCTTTTTAGATATCTTTTTAACTTGACTGTCGATCTCTTGGAGTTCTTTACCATTCTGTAGGGTGACTGTCATGACTTGCTCTCATGGATTGACTTTTGTATTGCTTGAAAGTTTATTTTGACTCTTTTTGGTAAGTAAGCTAGCTAAATTTCTTATTTGAATCTCCATATTCCTTAGAGAATTACCCATTTGCAATTCTATTCTTCATAAAAGCTTGAGTTGAAGCAATTACTTGTTTAAGTTGATCAACTTGGTAATGCTCTTTATGCTATTCACTTGGTAAGTCACCATTTAAGCCACAGATTCGTCCAACTTTATTGTACGATCATCAATTGTGTTTCTTTGTTGTTAGAAGCCTAGCGATACTTGTGGCTCTTGAGTGGAAGAATTTTTTCAAGAAAAATTTAGATGATTTCTCCATCTGAGATTATATGTGTTGGAGTATGAGTCATTCCTGGGATTAACTCCCTCCACATAGTTACCATTAACCTATATGAAAAGAATTATTAGCAGAAGAAAGGAAATTAACAGAACTAAAATTTTTTAATAATAAATTTAAACTCTTTGTTAAATCCCATAATTTATGCAAGACATCTAATGTAGAAACTTCATTAGCTATCGCCCTCCTTCCTCAAATTGCCTTCCGCCTTGAATTTGTTGCTAGCATTTTATAAGTCTACTTCCTTTCTTCGCAGTCATATTACTTGAATCACCACGAATAGCATTATCAACTTTTGATTGGTATTTAGAGTTAAGCCCATCATAAAAGTCCATCAAGAGTATATGTCAAAATTGGTGGTAGTGACATTGGCTTATGAGGAGATCATAATGTTCCTAGGCTTCATGGAACAATTCACCATTTTGCTGTGTAAATAAGTGGATCTTGTCCCTTAACTCTAAAGCCTTCTGAGGAGAGTAATATTTTAATATAAATTACTCATACATATCTATTCAAGAGCTTATGGAAGCTTCTAGCAAGCATAAAAGCCATTGGCGAGCTTCTCCCTTTAAATAGTAAGGTAAACAATGCAACTTTAAATTGTCATCTGATAGATCATTTAACGATAGTGTACCAATTACTGCATAAAATTTTCATATAAAATCCAATGCATCTTCTTTAGTCCTGTTAAAATTAGGTAGCATATTTAAGTAAATATTTTTAAATTTATAATTACACACTTTAACACTCAATTGGATGCATGATGGGTTGGATGTGATGAATGAGCATTGAATATCTCTAAATGTACTAAGTGGTTTTGGAATTGCTTCATCACCCACCTTTCTTTTTCTTTGAAATCTATTTTTCTTGCAAAATCGTTCAATTTTTTGATTAATAGGAGTCAAATTTAAATCACTAGAACTTCTTAGTTGCATAAAAATAATAAATTAAAAAATTAAAAGGAAAAAATAAAAAAATAAAAATGAACTAAAAATTAAATAGTTAGTAAATTTGTAACTTTCCTAGCAACTGTGCCAAAAACTTGATCACTTTCGCAAGTATATGAGATCATAATAATAAATTACTCAGACTATTCTAGTTATCGAACCTGTAAGAAAGTTGCACTTTTACTAATTTAAATAATTAATAGTTTAAGAAAAATAGATAAAATGAATTATTTGATGAGAATATAAATAATAAAAATAAAGCAAGAAAATAATGATGAGGAAAACATAATCACTTGAAGCATGAGGATTAGGATTTACCATATATGTTACTAGTTTTTACATTTTGATTTGACTCTTTAATCAATTATAATGATAATTATTTCAAAACTATCCTAATATTCTCCCAGATTATTAGTCCATTTTTAATTAGCATTGAATTCATTCTTACAATACCTAAACCACTAGTTAAAATATAAAACTATAATTTAAGTCACCATAAATTTCTAGAACTCTTCCTAGTCTAATTATTTATGTCTATTTTTTTATATCTAGGTTCTCTCTTCACCTCTTAATACATCAAAATTATCCATAAATTTAATTGAATAGTGGTCAATCATAAAATCAACATGAAAAACAAAAAAAAATATAATTAAAAAAATAATATATATATATATATATATAAAAGCAAAGTGATTATATGTCTTTTCTCTTTAGAAGAGGAATATTCACAATTAAAGTGAAGGCTTTTCTTTTTTATTCATAGTAAATGTGAGACTTTAAGGTGTAAATATCACATCCGCCTCTCCCAAGATTTATTCACCAGAGTGTGTGTATGAGATTCTTTTTATAGCACAAATATAAAAATAAAAAGATATGAATAAATTTTATAGCACAAATTTTTTTTTATCTTATAATTAAGTGATGAGAGAAAAATATATAAATATTAGTTAAATAAATATAAAATATTAATAAATTTAATCAAATCTAAACCAAAATCCAAACATATTAAACTATTAAACATGCACGTCAACATTGTTCATCGTTTTCGCTCCAGGTTGCTTTGGACGATTTTCCCTTTGTGCAAGTCCACGCCCAGATCTGGTCACCTTTCGTTGTTACTTTTAAATTGAATAAAAACACAATTGAATTGGGTACAAGAAAAAATGGTTTTTACAGTGTACAGTGGTTATGATTTTGCCAGTGTAGTTTTTTAGGGAGGGCATTTTGGTCTTTTAAATGAAAATTATAATAGAGCCAATAATTTAAGTAAGCTGAGCTCAATTTGAGTTGCACTTATTTGAATCGAGTTTAAAATATCCTATCCTCTTAAAAAACTCATATAGCCAATCTCAACCTTAACCTTTTTCAGCCAGGTTTAAGCTAGCCCATCAAGCATGGCTAAATTTACCAACTTTATATACATATAAAGCTGAAAATTTTCAACAGTAGAACTTGTTCCAATCGAGCTCAATTTGAGTTGGGCTTATTCGAATCGTACTTAAAATATTCTACCCTTCTAAAAAAACCCCTATAACCAAACCCAACCCTAACTTTTTTCAGATGGGTTCAAACTTGTCCATCGAGTTTTGCTTAAATTACCGACTTTAAATTATATCATGATTTTATGGACATAGCAAACGTATTTTTAAACCCTATATTCATTTTTATTTTCACATCTATTTTCAGTTTTATATTCATATTCATTTTTATCAAAGTCACTTCCATCATACCAAACGAGACATAACTAGTTACTCCAATTTTACTCATAAATCGTTTTAGCTAATTCACTGAAACTAATGAGTTAATTAAATTATCAATGTTGTTTGAAAAATAAAAAAATTTTAGCTTGAAGTTAAAAGTTATTTTTGCCCCTTAACTTTACCCAAAGGTTCACTAGAGTTTAAACTCAATTATAGGTTAATTATATCCCTTAACATTAAAAATTTTCTCCTTCGTCACTCCAATGTTAAAAACACTTTACGTCCATTGATCATCAATAGGTCCCACTATTTTAACATTTTTTATTAAATTAAAGATCATTTTTACCTATCAACTTTTATTCAAAAAATTAGTGAGCACCCTTAACTCAAATATTTTATATAAAAAATATTAAAAAATATAATGTGAGATTCACTAATGGTCAATTAATAATTAGAAAATGATAAGGTAATAAAGAATAAAAATTTTAAAGTTAAGAAATAAAATTAACCTATAATTGAATTTATAGTCCCTAATAACTTTTCAAGTAAAGTTGAGGGGCAAAAATAACTATTAACCTTTTTTTTAAAACAATCTCTCTCTAAAATGTAACATTTTACTCTTTTCTCATAAAATTGTGATAGGATAAAATTAAAAAAAAAATGTAACTAATAATCCATCCTTTTATATGCAAAATTACTTACAAAAAAGACTATTAGTTTCTTTTAGAATACAACTTATATATAATCACTTATTAAAAAAAGCTATCTATTTTTTTCTAAAATATAACTTTTATACAAGACTGAGGTATATATCAACTAAATATTTCAATCAATTTTTTGTTTTTCTTCTTATTTCTATGGTTCTTAGAACCCTAAGTAGGTAATTTCTTTTTTATTGCTCACAGTATCTTCTTACTAGAGGCAATCTTGTTTGAAGCAAGATCAAGCACTAAATGTAAACAACTCTTTTAATATGAATTTAAACCTTAATTCACTATATTATAAGGAATTAGCCCCTTCAATTACTCTCAACCCCTATTAATCCTAAGTAATTTCTCTGTGAGATAAAATGTGAGAGATGAAAGAACAGTGAAGCAGAGAAGCCGAGCCAGACCAGAGGCCACAAGTGTCGCATGCTAATTGTTGAGAATGCATACAGGAATTGTTATTTAAAATGAAGCATCATGCATGCAGGAAACCAGATAGAATGACGCATATCATGAGAATATTAAAAACCTTCTCAAAACAACCATAGCTACTTGCAACCGCAGATGCAGCACTTGTTTCACATCATGCAAACAATAGACTCTTCACCACTTTCAAATTAGAACCGTAAACAAGTCGGACTCGTAACTTTAGACCCAGCTCACATCACAAGTAGCTCAATTAAGAATAAAATAAAATCATAAATATATTATATTACATAATATAAAATTATGCTGAGAAAATTATATTTCAGTTCACTTAAGCTTAAGCATATAAATATATATAACACTCTAGTAAGTTTAACATCCCAAACCGATAATCTAATGGATCGAGCTGAACTTGAGAAGTTGATGTACTAACCATGATGAACCCAAAATAGTCAGTACTGAGCTCGACTGACTTGTCTGAAGCTTCCATAGAAGTAGAAGAAATCTGGCCCAAAGATGATCCAAAAATGAGTGTGGAGGAACGAATAGCAGGAGATTGACATGTGACATGAGAGTTTAAGCTCCTGATCCTGAAGCGCATGAAAGATGCCAGGACACAAGTAAAAACAAGCAAGAAGACTCCCAAAGACGATGTTGTCTTGTATGATCTTGGACATGTCTAGGTGGCTATGGTGGTAGGGACAACAATCGTCTCGCTGCTTGCAGCTTTTAAAGCAGCAATCTCTTCCAAGCGCTTCCATGAGGCTTCGTGTTTTCTCGTCCCTGCCTCTACTTTGGATTCATTCTCTTGGAACTTACGCAAGCACTCCTCAAATAACTCAGGATCAACCTCACAGAAGATTTTACGCACGTTAAGAGTCAAGCTCCTGACCAACTGATTCCAGTGGGCATGGCCACTTTTCTCCAAAGCTGGGAAGATAATGGGAAGTATAACTTTACGATTTTGTCTGATTAAATTCTCAATGTGATTACTGTTCCACAAGTACAATGCCCTTTCTGCCACCTGCAAAAGAAACGACCTTATCATTAAAAACCAAATTGGAAGGAGTGCAGCCTCGACAATCATTATTTCATCAGATGGACAACACCCCAATTGAAGTAATCAAGGTATGCAGTTTCAAACAAGGATCTCATCCCAAATATAAGAAACCACTATCATGCCAGATTACAAAGGCAATTAGTATTTGAACAGTTTTGAAACCGCCAGAGCTTGTGTCAAATATCAGTTCATCCCATAAAAGGCAAAAGCTTTAGCGGTTAGAACAAGGCGCAAGATTGCTTTATCATTAAACATATTGTCCATCACTCAAAAACAAGATTGACATATTAATAAAGCATAGGCTCCACCTTGTGAAATTTTTAATAATGGATTAGACGGGCAAAGGTCAAACTTTGGACTATTTGGTTACTAAGGCTCTACCGCTCTAGTACCACGCCAATAATCATTTCATCCTAAAAGCTAAAGCTATTAGAAGAAGGCGTAGTGATGAATGTTAATATTAACATTTGACAATTTTATAAATGGTATAGCGCACTTCCTTCTTAGTCAATTTTAAATTTTAACTGTTTTCAAGCTTATCTTGTTCAAAATCAGATACTGAACAATGGCATATACCAGCAACTCACCGACACTACTAAGTTGAAACAGCTTGGTTACAGCCAAAAAACTAACATGATGAATCTGATAATTATAATGCTTCTAACTGATCTAATTCACCTTTCAAACAAGGGATTGATATTGCATCAAGCATATTTAATGGTGATCAATCATATAAAATAACTAGGTGGAACCCAATGCATTGCATAGAGTTTTAAGGATGAGCCGCATTGTTCACAATGGGCGGATAGAGTGGCTTGCCATAAATGTGTTACCTATCGTTGACAGAACATGAGTGAGTCATGACTTGCACACATTTATGCACTAACTATCAATGAAGAAAATTGTCAAGTTCTGTTTTTTTTTTTTTTTAATAGACAAAATTGTCAAGTTCTTTACACCGTAGATTACAGGAGTAATGCAAGTTTGTCACTTCTGACCAAGAATCAATATAACTATAAGTAGGATCCGATCAATGCTACCGCCAGCAACATAACCAAAGTAGATTGCTCTAATCACTTTAACCACCGTAATAATAGATGTATGTTACCATCAGAGACAATACAATCACCTTAACAGTGCTACCGGACCAATAGTGGAGGTCAGCTGACCCGATAATAAACACACAACTGAAAATTTGGTGTTTGGTGTTGCAAACAGCAAACCACTTTGACAATCATAATAATGAGTGTTACCATCATACAAGGGGCAGAGAGCCAACATCTTATCAATACTACCAGACTGCTAGGGGAGATTAGTTACCCCAACAATTTTTTTTTTTTTTTTACCAAAGGGTTACTCTTGCATTAACCTCCACAAACTCAAATTACGCAATTGCAAAGCCTAACACATTTAACACCAATTCCCATATAACCAATCGCAAGTTATAAACATGACTCCCCTAAAACATGAAAGCCCACATATTTCTCTGTAATTTATTTTCTTTTTAGAAAATCCTCAATTGATCTAACAAAATGATAGAACACAATGATGTAGCGCACTCTACATAGCCGACCCTACCTAATGGAATAAGGATTGTGGCTGTTGTTGTTGATCTAACAAATATTTTAGGGGTCATTAGATCAATAATAATTTCCCAATGTGGCATAAAAGAACTATTCCAGCTCTCATGTAAATTTTGGACTAACCTCACAATTATAATGTAGCTTGTTCATAGTTTTGCAAAATTAAATCATAAAGTTTCATTTTTCCAAAAAACTCAAAGTTGCAAATGAGATTGTTAATTCATAAGATAAGCATGATTGATAACCCTCAAAATATGTACAGAACCACCTATAGTTGAAGCACCATAGATTTATTGATTCCCCGTCCATCAAACCACAATAAGCATTGCACAATTCAGTTAGCTGACTTGATGATCTCAAGAAATTCTTAATATCTTCTAATAATTATCTTCCAACTATAACACTTTTTCCACCATAACAGCTTTCTTTTTGTCTTTTATTGTGTTAATTTTTCTCTTTGTATTGCATTTGTAAGTCCAACACTAGTAACTGGTAGAATTTGAACAGCTGGTCTCTTTCCACCCACCTTCTTATAAAGGAAATAGATGATGCATGATTAACATTTAACACCAGATCAAGTGAAAAATACTCCATACAAATCCAAAATGGCTTTGAGTATTTAGGATTCTTAGTAATTAAGAATATCAAAAAAAGACCATCATAAATATATATGGTTCAGATTATCTTCAAAGCAAGTACTGACGGACCAATTTTTTATGGCTCAAGGAATTCAAACATAAATGTCCACCTTTTACATGCGTACTCCAGTCCAAACATCACTAAGAATTTTACTCTGCAATTTCACTACATCAAATTATTTCAACCAAAGTTTTTAATATGACATAGGCAACAATTACATATGTAAACCAATACTAATATTGATTTATAGCATAACCAGATTGCAGAAAAAATAAAATTAGTCCTTGTCAAGTTAAAAGCGATTGAGATACCAAAAATTAGATTTCCAACATTTCAATAATCAGACAGAAGTTAGTTGATACCAGCCAATAAAGATAAAGGTGACAATTAAAATGCATCATTAAAAGGAAGGTGATAACTTGAACACATTAATTTAGCATAATTTCTAATTTTCATTTTCTTCCTGGTGCAACAAACAGCCCAAGTCAAATTACATTCACTGTGATATTAATTCAACCTTTAAAAAGAGCAATAGGTCTGTAGAACAAAGAATAAGAAATAAAGATTCTACACCCTTTAGAAAGTGATTGACCATCATTTGATCAGAAAGGAGGAGTGTTTCCAGAAGACAACTAGTAAAAGAAGAGCGAGCATTATTGCATAGGCCCAAAACTTCACCGATTGATATTCATGCGTAAACAGCATTTAATGGAAAAAGAAGTGCAAGGCATGTAGAAAAGAGAAAAAGTATTTAGAGTTTACACCAGAAGTGATCATTACCTGGAAGTGTGAGCTACTCAAACAAGAAGAAATTTTGCGGAACAGGGGCACCATACATCTTTGGAATTCAGCTGGCTGAGTGATTTCTAGGACTTCCTCTAGCTCAGTTAGGAACATGACTTCCTTTGAACTGTTAGTGATTGGCCAGTATTTCAATAATCCGCTTATTACAGTGTCTGCAAGTTTGCAGTCTTTTTCCACAAATTGTGTTATGCAGTAAGACAACTGCTGATGAAACATAGCTAAGCATTTAGGTTTATGAAGTGGAATTAAAGCACGGACAAGAAATAATTTGTGCTCTTCCTTCAGTGGCAAAGCAAAGCCATTAATTATACTACCCAGTACCTCTAGAAGCTCAGCAATCCCATTAAACTTCTCTGTTTCAAAGATAAAACGAAAGAAGATATTGTTGATACATTTCCTAATAAATGGACGATGTACCATAAACTTTCCATAGGTCCGATGTAGGATAGTTTTCAGATATTCCCTCTCCCTTGGATCCTCAGAATCAAAGAGATCCAGCATTCTGAGAACAAAAGAATGATCAATGTATCTTTTAGCAAGCTTTGCATCCGTTTCTGGAGATGCGATAAATCTAAGAAGAAATTCATACACAATCTGCAAGTGAGACCATGCAGGGTCCACCAGTGGTTCCTCATCTTCCAGGTCAAAGGTTTCTAAAACCTTGGCCTCCCGGGGCTGAGCATTAAGTGACCTGAACAAGTTCACAGACACCATTTTAAGAGCTTCTTGCATGACATTTTCAGGGAACTTGCCATTTACAGTGGTAACATATTCCACCAGCTCAAGAAGTGTCTGTCTTTTGATTTCCTTTTCCTTTATATTCTTTGTTGAGTCCGTGAAGTCAAACATCACACAGCACAAATTCAGTTTTCTAATAAACAGGTTTTGCTTTTCAGAATTTGGAACATCTCTAAATCCAGGTAATGCTTCATAGGGAGTAATTACCGCATTACCATTCACTTTTGAGTTTTCAACTGAAGGAACTTTATTTCCCTGTCCATATGCTGCACTGGAAGCAACACCAGGAGCCGGAAGAGATGAACTGCTTGAGCTTAATGGTACACTAGTCACAAGATCACTGGCTCTTGAACCAGTTGTATTTAGGTAAGAGGCTGATGAGTTCCCAAATTCACGGTCAGCTGACTTTGACGGCTTCCTAGGAAGCTTCCCGAGTATCTTATTGATCATTCTTTCAAATCCAAGTACGAGAGAAGGTCGTTAGATTAAAATCAGAAGGTCGATATTGTTTTGTACAAACCCCAGTGCAACAATAACACAATATCCCCACTTTCACAATAGAAAAGGCGAATCCTTATACATAATTAAAATCCATTTCAAGTCAATGGATAAACAGAACTAGCTGTACAATTTGAAATTCGAAAAGCAAATACGCGTTCCCTAACAATGATTTCACAAGACCCAGACGCATTAACCAAGGCATCAAGGCAGAACCACTTGCTCTGAAAGATCATCCTCATTCAATTGCAGAATCCTCTTCTGCTTGAGGAACAATAAACCACCAGAATCTCCAAATTTGGATCCGAAATCAGAAGCACATAAGCAGAAACTCAACCAGGTTAGACTCACTATGCGAACTCTTACCCGTTAAACCAGAGATTAGCAGTCAAGGGACAATGACAACAGGAAGATCGGCGAGTGATCCAGACCACCAAGACCGTATTTCATCATCAACATGAAAAGGGACACAACCGTGTGAACAGATTAAAAATAGTAGATTGTGAACTTGCTGAAAAAGAACCAACTAAAGAAAATTTAGAAGATACAAAATCTCTAATGAAAATTGAGAAAGAATCTTTTGACTCTTGTTGGAGCAGCGGCTTCGGAGACCGATAGAGGAGTGGAACGAAAAAGATATGATCCTAAATACTAGACTGCCGTAAGCGCAGATATTCACTCCTGTTTTACGCGTCATATATATATTGTATTATATATATTATATATCATGTATTGTATTATATCATACACGAATATCTACTAAAGTCTGTCAAAATTTAAAATAAAAAATAGAATAAAATATAATTACTTTCATTTTATTTTAATAAAATTAGAGAGACTCTTTTTATATTTTTAAAATTTACATTTTAGTCTAATTTTTTACATTGCTGAATATTTCATTAAAAATTTTAAAATATTTAATTTTTATTTGTAATTATGTTAAAAATTTAAAATTATTAATTTGTTCAATGATTTAATTGATTTAAAAATACGAGCAACAAGTTACCAATTTTGAGGAATTGGCCTTTTAGCTGTAGCCGACCAGTTTCTTAATTTGGAGTTTTGGACCATTTTCAGTGCGTATCATTAATTATCTTGTGACTGTTCACTTTACATGTCTATCAAGATTTTTTTTTTTTTTTTTGGCCAAATATATTTACCAAAGACCATGGAATATGAATTGTGTCAAATTTCTATTGGCTTTGTTTCCCCTTTTTTTTTTTGGCCAGTCTGACGTAAATTTCGAGCGGAGAAAAAGTCAAAGTGGAGATTTGGTTTGAAATTCAAATGCTGAACGCGTCTATGCTCTCCTTCCTTCTCTTCACCCATCTGGAAATTGGATCTTGGAACCTTATGCCAGAAATTTCACATTAAACTTCCCACAGTAAATCATGGGGAAAATGAACAAAATAAAAATTTAAGGAGTTTTTTAATATAAAGTTAAGGTCAAACTACTTCTCTACTGATTTTTAAGGAGTACTAATCACCTTATACAATAATTTTTCTCAAGACCATTTTTTTGAAAAATAAAAATGTCCTTCTATTAATGTGCCATGAAGTCTCCTGTTATGTGGTGATCTGTCATTGATAAGAAGTCTGATTGTTTCAAACATGGTGAGTTTACATTTATTTTTAATCAACAATGGACAAAAATGAGAAATGAAAATATATCCAAAAATTATAGAGGCATCAAAAGGAAAACAAGAGGTTTGAAATGTTTGAGTATGAAATTTTAAATGAAAAAAAATTGAAGTTAAAAAGAAATTATAATAAAAAAAATGGATTTAGATTTGAATTATAATCAAATCCAAATCCACAATCTTTTGTATATCCAAATGAAAGATTTAATCTAAATTTTAATTTTAATTTTCATTAATCCAAACACACTATAAATGAGTTATATGTGATATGGTGATCCATTATCACTTTATCTCTTCATTCTTTGGATTTTGATGTTCTTGTTCTTTTTTTTTTTTTTTTTGTTTAACCAACAATGTTGTTTCTCGAGTGGTATAGTATCATGTAAAAAAGGAGACCTTTTCTTTTTTTGGAATAAAGTGAAGACTAACTACAACACATCTACAAATAAAACAAAAGCTTAAACTATTCCTCTTTCATCAAACCCTATATTTGTTATAAAAGATTATTTTGTGTTAAAGAGATAAAAGACTCTATCAGACCTAAGGGATCATTTAGCTAATTAAGGAGAGCCAAAACATTTGACTCCCAAAACATAAAATTAACAAAAAGAAACCAATGCTAATGAAAGAAAGAACAAGCTTCCTCAATGACATCATGAAACAAATGAATGATGTCGCTTCCACAAGTAAGAAAATTAATCGCTTCAGTGCTATCCATGAAAACCTCTATATTTCTATAGCCTTTGGACCAACAAAAGTTAAGCATATAGATAAGACCTAATAATTCAATTATAGTGATCAGTACCAAGAAGAGTTTACAACTAAAGCCCTAAATCTACTTCACCTCACAATCCTGTAAAACTCCTTCATAGTTGTTTTGAGTACTGTTACTCACAAAACTATCCACATTGAAAAAATTCAGTCTTAGGAGCTCTCCAAGTTGCTTTATCCCTCGAAACCTTTTGTTGTAGATTGTAAGACAACATCAACTCTCTATCCATGCAAGCTTTATAGTAAGTAGATAGCCTTGATTGGTTATCCGATGAAGAAGCCTCTAAAATCCTAGAAATTTAACCCAAATTAGCTTAATTAAATAGGGTTAATTGAGTATATTAATATAGTGTGTGATTACAAGGAGCTAATAAATGTTATGAGTTGTGATTTCAACTTTAAGATTGAGTCCAAAGTAAAGTTGGGCCACTAGAATGTCCAAGAGTGAGGAAAACAAAGGGGCATGGCTTTATACCACATGCCACAGCACTTGCATGAGATGCTACAGCACATAAGCCACCAGAATGCAAGAGTGTCATCTCTATACACGCCACAATGCACTATCATGTTTATGCAAAAAAAAAAAAGAACAAGAAACAAACATAAAACAGAGGAGAACCAAAAGAGGAATAAGGAGCATGTGAAAACCTCTATTATGGCTTGCAAAGTTGAAGAGTTAGGAGCAATTCTAAGTGACCAATCATTAAAGGTAAGGTTTCTAAGCTCTTTCCCTCACTTCTTCTTGCATTTTCTTAATGTTAGAAGTTATGAGGTAAGGTTTCTAAGCTCTTTCCCTCACTTCTTCTTGCATTTTCTTAATGTTAGAAGTTATGGTTTGTTTGAAAAAGATAATTTTCAGTCCGTAAAAACTATGGGTTTGAACCTATTGACTCAGATAGAGTTAATGGAAGTTGTTTAAAATATTTAAACCCTGTCAAGAGTGATAAATGCATTTTGGTTATTGGAGAATCATTAATACCCAAAATTTACCATAAATGAGAATAGTTGGAGGTGTTTAATGGTTGTTAATGGTGGTCTAATGATTCATTAATGACAATACAAGTTAACGGAAGCTAACAGATCCTTTAGGTATCCTCATACATGAGGAGATTGAGTTTCGAGAGTTTGAAAATGTTGAATTAGATATTGAAACATTATCCTAAAAAGGGTATTGATGATTAATGTTGTGATTAAATATAAAGTGATCACAACTTAGCACCATTCAAGCTTAGCAAAGCTTTAAAAGTCTTTGTTTAAGGGAGTAAACCTTTAACCTCTCTAAGGTTTAAGGGAGTAAAACTTTTATTGATTGATACAATATAATTAAAGTGTGTGAAATTATTTGAAATGCAAGTGTGGCATATGAAATTGTATTCTCCCTCTAATAAAAAGGAAAAGTTTTAAAATAAACATTGTGATATGAAGTTCAATGAATGTGTGTAAATGGGAGTTCAATGGATGTGTAAAATGTGGAGTTCAATAAGATGTTGTTTTTATGGAGTTTAATTATGTAATATGTTATGAAGTTTAATGATTTGTTGCTATGTGTTTATGTGATAATCATATATTATGTGAGCATAATGATAATATTAAGCATGCCTAAAAATTGAGTATTTTCATGCCAAGGAATATTGCATTTTGTGTATTACATAATCATGAGAGGTGAGAGTTCACCTAAGAAAAGGAGTGGTGAGTTTAAAATCTACATGGTAAGGCAACCTGGAACTCAATGGTTTGCCTAGATATTATTACTTTTATTGTCTCACTTATTTAATGAGAGACTATCCCATTGTGTAATGAGGGACTTGAACCTACTCTAGTTTTCACTTCTTCAATAAATAAGCTAGTTTAGGGAGAGCAACCACTCACAATGTGAGATTTGGGGGAAATCATGACCTATAAGTAAGTTAAGCAACCTTAGTCGGGTAGCTTCTCACATGTGAATGCTAAGATAGTCTCATTACATGGACAATCATAGTGTGTAATAGCCCACGATTTTATGTCAAATGTATAAGGACAATATAAGAAAAGTGTGATCATACATATATGATAGAAGGGCACATGATTGTCTATATCATGTCCCTTGTTTTGAGAACATGTGATAATATGAGTTTAATATCATAATTGTGAAATTTATATTGCTATTTGTAAAAATGAATATTGTGAATTTGAGAAAATGATATCGTGACTCATGAAAATAGAATTTGAATGAGGAAGACATGAGTAAAATGATAGATTGTTTCTTACATTTAAATTGATTGATATGCATTAGTATAAATTAGACATACCTTGGTTAATATGTGGTTATACTCACCCCCTCTCTTCAATATTACAAGAAGTAGCTCATTAAGACAAGACTGAGAGAAACAATCTAAGGCTTAGGACTCTATCATAAAATAGTAGACCTCATTTATTTTGATTATTATTATGTGTATAATTCATGTGATATTGCCAAGTAGGGAAGTGCATGTTTTTGGCTTACTTGTACTATGAGATTTTTTAATGAAGTTGTGTATTTTAGGCCCTATAATGTATATGTTTTGATTGTGAATTCTAAGAAAGGGCCAAAATACTAGTGCAAATGAGAGATGAGTATTTCTTGTTATTGATGGTGATTAATGAATGATATATGCTATCAAGGCTCCCCCTTCTGTTTTTGCAATTATGGGGTTGAGCATTGAAAATGTGTTAAATATGTTGTTTGAAAGATGTGGTGTATTGTACAAATTTGTTGTAGTCTATTACGTGTGGTCTAGGATAAAATTTGGGCTTTTGGCACTTGGAACAAAATTAAGACATCCAAGTTGTATTTAAACTGTAAAAAAGAGTGAGTTGAGAAATATGTGTCTAATTTTTGATTGAAAAATAATTTCATTGTAAAACCAATGTCATTAGCTAGAGTTAGGAGAAAATTCTCTATAAATGCCTAGTCACCTTAATCAGATATCAAACAAAGAAATAAGGAGCATTGAAAGTTAGCCCCAGTTGCTATCAGAAAATGTGCAATGCGTCATGATGCATGGTACTAAGAGGGACGTGCTGCAGCACACTTATGACAAACCACAGTGCACCTCTACATTATTGCACTAAAAAGCTATTTTCTCATTCAAAATGGAAATGATTTGTTATAAAATTATTTTCCATGCTTTTGTGAAATTATTTAGATTTGATTTGTGATATATAAGTAAGTATTAGAATGTTTTGAAAGTTTTGGAAACTTAGGATCCTGTTTTGTAAATTTTATAAATTTGATAATCCTTT